GGAGGGGTTGGAGGAGCTCCCTGCCATTGCTGGTTCGTTGGTGTAGCTCTGTGCACAGGCAGCGACGGTTGGTGTAGCGGTGGAGACCGGTGGTGGTGGTAAAGGCAGTGGTGCTTCCCGCCGCTGGCAGTGCCTCCCTCGCAATCGGACTAGGGTTAGACGGTGGGGTTGTGGCGGCGGCAGTGAACCTCGTATCAAGAGTCGTTTGCCCCACCTTCTCTTTATAGGCACTGTGCGATGGGAGGCCACTAGCCACTAGATGGCTGGACGTCCCTGATCAGGACGCGGTTAAGGGGTCCGTCTCCACCGTTGGGTCAAGAGGATGAGATCAATTCTAATATTCTCCCCCTTATCTCAACTCATACTTTAACTTTAAACTTTGACTTTAATCCCTTTCACTTTTATTTGTTCCATCACAGATTAGTGCATAGAGCATGCTTCATCGTCACGGTCAATCGCCGATAGACTTAACAGCAACAATACACATCTCTGTTCTGAAACAGATTCTTTAACTTTTGGGCCCTTTATTGTCCGAAAATCATAGGCTATACCATAAACCCATATCGATTGTGTGTTCTCTAAACACACTGGGTGGTAAGCCTTTTGTACGTGGATCCGTAAGCACTTGCTTGTTACTTTAATACTTTTAGTATGATTCCGGACTTTCTCCTTCACAACGTATAACTTTAACGTCAATTTTCTATATCACCGTTGGGCAGAAATAGAATAAAACATCATTCTTCTACATTAATTCCACATCACCATTGTGAAGAAATGGAATTAACGTATAGAAACTCAATAATCTTGAAAGCATAGAACTGCTCCTCAAAATTAAATTCTCCCGTTGGTTCGAATTTAATTAGAAGACAATCGACTTCATTGCAGCGGAAACATGAAAATACATTTCTCTAATTTAAGAGCATTCCTTGATCTTTATCTTTTCTCTAAAAAATTGGTCACTTTGATGCAAAATTCATCAGAGATTTAAACTTTAAACATAAAACTCATAGAATTATAATATTGTTATCATCAACGTTGGTCAGAAAATAACAATACCATAATTTAACTTTAACTATCAATCGACTATTCCTCCAATTAAAATTTTCCCGTTGGTTCCAATTTTAACTGGAGGATTAACTTTTTATCATTTACTGAATAACTACAACTGCTCTTCAAATTAAATTCTTCCGTTGGTTCGAATTTAATGAGAAGATAATAAACTTTAACTTCGCAGCGGAAAAAAGAACTCATTTTCTTGAATTTTACCCACAGGGAAAAAATAAATACCTTTTCTATTTTCTTTTGAGCCAATTTCCATTTTTCAATAATATGTAAAAAAAGAAAAGGAAATTGCAGGCTCATTCTGCCTCTCTGGGCCCAAAAACCGGCAAAAGCTGGCTCGGCCCAACTCAACTCGGAGCCCGGTCTGCCACTCCCACGCGCGCGCTGCCACCCAGGCCGCAACGTGGGCATAGGCCGTCAAAGCGCCGCGGCCGCGCACCCCGCCTGGGCCGCGATGCTGCCCGCACAATCCCCACCGTCCGCGCCGATCCGACGGCTGAGCGGCCATTCCGGCTGATCAAAACACCCCGGCCGCGACGGCCGAAACCCTAGCTCCCACTTCCCTTCTCCCTTCTGCTCTCTCAGCCACGCGAGCCCGACGAAGAGCAGGCGACGACGAGAGCGAGCAGGGCCTCGACGCCATCGTCGGCCCCCTCGCCGGCATGCGCGCTCCCTAGCGGGTGAGCGCGCTGCCGTTGAGCGGCCTGGCCGCGACGCCCCTTTGGCCTGAGTCCGGCGAGAGGCTTCTCCTAGCGCTCGACCTTCTTCTCCGTGCGCGCTGTGCGAGGCAGCAGTGCTACGCAGCGGCGAGGTAAGCCCACTGACTCTTCCTCATCCCCTTTATCCTTTCTGTTTCTTCGCATCTTGCTTTTTCTTCTCGGTTTTGACCGATTGGGAATAGGGTTGGAGATCTAGGGTTAGGGTTTTGGGCCCTATTCTTCTTCCCCGAGTTCGAGTCGCGGGTTTAGGGTTCGGATCAAGCGGTCTTGAAACCGAGCCCCTTCCATCTTCACCAGTTAGGGTTAGGGTTAGGGAAAACCCTAGTCTGTATGCTCAGATCCAAAAGGATCTAATCCGTTCTTTTCTTTTCTGTTCTTTTGAGTCTCTTCCCATGCGTCAGCAAACCAGCGGCGGGTGCTCCATCCCACGTGAGGCGGTAGTGATGGCGGTGGGGAAACCTTCCCCGGACCGTCCAATTTCTTTAGGGTTAGGGTTCTTTAGGAGGGTAATCTGAATCGAATTTGAATCCCCTTCTTTCTTTTTCTTTCTATCACCCGATTAGGGTTTAGGGTTCGATGAACCCTCTGTATTTCTTTTCTTTTCGATCCGAACCGGATCTAACTCATCTCCTTCTACACTGCTACCCCTAACACAATCCACACACTAGATCGACGGCTCTGATACCAATGTTAGATACTTTGGACCATCTAGGTGTAGATCAGAGGGTGATATCTTTACTAATTGAATCAAATAGACCTAGAGCTTGCTTTAGGGAAAGGAGACAGAGAGAGAGAGAGAGAGATGTAGGAGCATCTGACCATCGAAGGGGTTGGAGGAGCTCCCTGCCATCGCTGGTTCGTCGGTGTAGCTCTACACACGGGCAGCGACGGTTGGTGTAGCGGTGGAGACCGGTGGTGGTGGCAAAGGCAGTGGTGCTTCCCGCCGCTGGCAGTGCCTCCCTCGCGATCGGACTAGGGTTAGATGGTGGGATTGTGGCGGCAGCTGTGAACCTTATATCAAGAGCCGTTTGCCCCACCTCCTCTTTATAGGCACTATGCGACGGGGGCCCACTAGCCACTAGATGGCTAGACGTCCCCGATCAGGACACGGTCAAGGGGTCCGTCTCGACCGTTGGGTCAAGATGGAGGAGATCAATTCTAACATTGCTGCCTTGTCGATGGGGCTTGTGGCACTGTGCATGGCATAACCCTTGCACTGCCCATTCTCGCACACTTCAAAAATAGGCAGCACTTGGTGACGGGCTTCCATCATTGTATACACCACGCTGCTACCCTTGCCCACTCGGTGGTGACTCCATAGTTGTCACTGCCGCCGCCGAACCTAGCCACATCGAGGACATGGATCTCCTCACCCCGAATCTCACATGTCGCCCAGTAGAGGACATGGATTGAGACACAGACCTCTTCATGAGGGCACGCCAAATCAGACGACACCGTTGAACCTCACCAGCTGCCAGCACAATGAAATGGAATTGGGGGAGGAGCGAGAGGAGGCGCCGCCCTTCGCTCAGTCTGGCAGCCACCGCTGCTCAAGGCGTTGTATCCTTCGATGGCGGCGCCGTGAACTTCCTTGCTAGCTCACGAAATGGGATCGAGGAAGGAGGGGGAAGGAGGCTCCGCCCCTGGAGTCTCGCCAGCCGCTGCTGCTCGGGACACCGTCTACTTCGACAAATTAATGGAGCGACACGAAATAAAGGACGTGAGAGTTGATGGGCTGGACTCGGGCTGCGTTGGACAATTTGAGCCCAACCGTAACCCAGGCAACAAATCAATAAGAAAATAATTAATTAATTTAATGGGCTGCTTTTGAGATTCGTGCCATTTTTAAAATGAGGAGTACCAAAGCCGTTGCCCTGTCAATGTCATCACAGGCCTAGGTAATAGTAACCAAGAGGATGATATGCAGTCTTCATGTGCATCAACAGAATTTACATTTTTAGGATCAACTAACAGTTAAACATATCTTCATAGGGAATCAATAATCCATCATCACAGGCAATCAAAACAAAGTTAAATATATGCACCATCATAATTCTTCTTCACATGGAGGAGGAGCTCGAGTAGGGAGAGGATAGGAGGAGAGAGGAGGAGCTTGGGATATGGGGGGAAGGAGGGAGAGGAGAAGTTAGGGCTAGGGAGGAGAGAAGAAGGGAGAGGAGGAGCTAGGGCCGGGGGAGGAGGAGCGAGGAGCCCGGACAAACGGTGGTTGGCATAGGGCTAGGTCACGGCGGAGGCAGTTTGCCCTAGGACTGGACCCTCTACCGGATGATAGGGAAGAGGTATAGGAGTGCTGGGGGAGGAGACAAGGGTAGAGAGGAAGAGCTAGAGCCTAGGGAGCATGCCCCTGCGATCGAGGCCCTCAGCGGCTGGCACGCCCCCGCGACCGACATCCCTGGTGGCTGGCATGCACCCATGGCCACCTCAACCCCAGTCGGCGTACCCCATGACCGGCGCCCTCAATGGCCAGCATCCCCACGGGCCCGTGGCAGTGCCACTTGGAGCTCCGCCTACGTTGCGCTATATCCTTGTCGAGCTCCACCCGCATCGGTGGCCGGTTTGCTTCAAGCTCGCCACCGCAGGCATCTCCTCTTCTTCTTGCACGCTCATCCCTCTTCATCCCACTCCGTCCCATCGATTTGAGGGGATGAGTTTGTTCAGAGGGAATGTTTTTTCTCTAAAGACGATAATATCTCCTATGTCTCTCAATGAAATAGTTGAAAGAACCAAACAAATATGCTCTAACTTTTTTTATCCACTTGAAAAACTTATAAATTTATCCAATGTCGGGAGCCACTGCTCGACCTCTGCGATTCTTGTGTAATGAGAATCGTTAAAAGTTTCTAGCTCCATTCCATCACTAAATTTATCAAGGAACTATTAGAGCTGTTATAAGTACCTAGAACGTGAATGCAGTACGACACTCAACCCACATGCAACGCAAGTCGGCGATGTCATTTGGGACCAGCAGGACAGGAGGGCCCAGTTCACTTGTTGGGATTGCACCAAAAAAAGGCCTGCGCGTCTACCATACCCGCCCACATGTCGGTCCTAGCACCTAGCCACCCACACCCACACTAGAAGTCCAGAACCCTAACCCTCACTGCTCCCCACTGCCACGGACTCTAGTGCCGCCACCACGACACTCACCCTGCGTGGCTGCGCAGCCTCCACCACAAGGCACCGAACACCACCGTGGAGATGGAGCTGGTGGGTCCCAATGCCAAGAGGAGGAGATCCAAGGACCTAGCAGCCGGTGAGCCCCCGATGCGGACAATGGAAACCATGGAGGCAGCCCATCCCAAACCTACAATCCATGGCAAAGAACCGCCGCTGTCGTCGCCTAATGCTGGCAGTGGCGGCGGCGACGACGACGTTGACCGCATCAGTGGCCTCCCCGATGCTGTCCTCGGTGAGATACTTTCACTTCTCACCGCCAAGGAAGCCGGACACACCCAAATCCTCACCTCCTGGTGGCGCCACGTCTGGGTCGCCTCCCCTCTCATCCTTGATGGTGCAGACCTCCACAATAAGCCCAAGGCCCTCCTCAGCGATAGCAGCGGGACAACGATGATGATGACGAGGCCCTCTCCTGCGCGCTCACCCACATCCTCTCCGCCCACCTAGGCCCCGCCCGCCGCTTCTCCATCCCGTCGCTCTATCTCTAGAACCGTCCCACCACCGTGGACGCCTGGCTCAGCTCCCCGGTGCTTGACAACCTCCAGGAGCTTGAGTTTTCCGAAAGATATGATATGATATGGTATATTCAACTGTCTCGGTTGGCGCCGCCACCTGCCTCTACTTTCTAGTTCTTGGGTACCCTCCGAGTTGCTACCTTTGGTAAATTCAAGATCCAGGATACACTACTAGAAATATCTACTTCTATGACGAAAAACTTAAGCTGCCGCCACCGATGTCGCCGTCGGAAGCTGCTAGTGGTGGTGGCAACGGTGGCGGTGAAGACAACGTCGACCACATTAGCGGCCTCCCCAACGCCGTCCTCAGTGAGATAGTTTCGCTTCTCTCCACCAAGGAAGCTGCTCGTACCCAAATCCTCGCCTCCCGGTGGCACCACATCTGGCTCACCTCCCCTCTCGTCCTCAATGGCATAGACGTCTCCACCCAGCCCAAGGCCTATCCCCACGACGATAAGAAGTTTAACACCACCAATGAGGTCCTCGCCAGCGTTGTCTCCCGCATCCTCTCCGCCCACCCAGGCCCTGGCCACCGCTTCTACGTCCCGTCGCACTTTCTCTAGGACCGTCGTGCCACCGTGGATGCCTGGCTCAGCTCCCCGGCACTTGCCAACCTCCAGGAGCTTGATTTCTAGGAAGGGATAGATATGAAATATTGGTATATGCAACCATCTCCGTTGGCACCGCCACCTGCCTCTGCTTTCCAGTTCTCAGCTACCCTCTGAGTTGCTACCTTTGGCAAATGTGAGCTCCTGGATAGCTTAGTGGAAGGGATTCCCTTTCCCTATCTCAAAGTAGCTTGGCCTTGAAGATGTCAGCATCTCCGAGGGGTCACAGCATACCATCATTTCTAGCTACCCTATCCTGGAGTGCCTGCTGCTTAAAGACATCTTTGTGGTAATAGGCAAATTAAATTATGTAATATATCAACATGAGGCTAGATGACTTGGCGACCACACCATCCAGAAGAGGGTGTTCCAAATTGAGATGCCTAGGAGTAGGCACCCTCACCCGTTGCTGGCGGTCATTTGGACGTGCTATTTTTCATTGGATGAAGACAGGCCATACTATCACAATAATTTGATTATCTGTGTCATTTATATTTATACACTGCCTGTGATGAGTATAAAAATCCCTCATAAAAATTAAGTTTTTATGCCCTTCTAATAGCTGCAACTTTTGGGTCTTGTTAGTAGGTGATGGGTCTGCCAAAGCAGGGGGTCATCTTCTACCTTGATCTTTTGGGTGGTGTTGGACACAACAACATAGTGTTGGTTTACTTGACGGAACTATCAAGTTAGACTTGGGTTTTAGGGCATAGCGTTGGAAGCCGAGATATATGATATCAACCAATGAATGAGAATCACATTGGATGCGATTGGCAAGTGTTGCCTACTTAGTTCACTATGATGCTAGTGGTGATGGCAAAGCTCACTAGTTCCATAGGGAACGTGGGGTCTCGTCCCACTATGCAATGTCGGGGGACGTTCGCAAAACATAGTGGGGTTCCTTTTGTTAAAAATGGTTTAATTAAAGTAGTGCTAACCATTGCATATCTTTGTTATTGTAGAAAATGTCGAGCAACTCGAGTTTTAATTTGCGATCGATCCTAGAGAAAGAAAAGCTAAATGGAACTAATTTTGTTGATTGGAACCAAAACCTGAGAATTGTTCTCAGGCAGGAAAGAAAGAGTACGTTCTTGATACGCCTTACCTAGATGAGCCTTAGAATGTCGCGCACAATTCTAATGCGTATCATGCTTATGTGAAGCACACTGATGATATCGTGGATGTGTAGTGCCTGATACTTCCTTTTATGAACTCTGAGTTGCAGAAGCAATATGAGAGCACCAACCTGCATGATATGATCATGGGGCTACGTGGCAAGTTCGAAAACCAGGCAAGGGTTGACAGGTTTAACACCTCGAAGGCCCTATTTGGTAGCAAGCTTGCTGAAGGCGCTCTAGTCAGCCCTCATGTAATCAAGATGATTGGTTACATTTAGAGCTTGCAGAGAATGGGTTTTCCCCTCAATGACGATCTCACCACCCTTCAGTCTCTGCCAGCTAGCTTTGAGCCACTTATGATGAACTATGACATGAATAGCTTGAAGAAGAACATTATTTTCGCCTCATGTTTAGAGGATGATGGTTTTAATTTGTAATAAAGAACAAGTGTTGTTCTATTTTTATGAATGGCATGTACTATGGGAGATGTCTTGTTGTGAATGGGCTTTATGTTCTTAATCTTGAGGAAAATGAAATCAATAATGTTAATGCTAAGAGAGTTCGCAAACATGATTCTAATCCTACTTACTTGTGGCATTGTCGCTTAGGCCATATAGGTAAGAAGTGCATAGAGAGGTTCCATAAGGATGGTCTTCTCGATTTTTTTGATTATGAATCAATTGAGACATGTGAGTCATGCCTACTTGGAAAGATGACTAAAGCTCCTTTTGTTGGACAAAGTGAGAGAGCAAGCGAGCTGTTAGGCCTAGTATAACAGATGTATGTGGCCCAATGAACTCAACCGCAAGAGGTGGATTTCAGTACTTTATTACCTTTACCAATGACTTGAGTAGATACGGCTATATCTATTTGATGAGGAACAAGGCAGAATCCTTTGAAAAGTTCAAAGAGTTCCAAAATGAAGTGCAAAATCATACTGGCAAGACAATTAAATTCCTGCAATCGGATCATGGTGGGGAATATTTGAGCCATGAGTTTAGTGACCATCTAAAGAATTGTGGAATTGTTCCGCAACTGACTCCACCCGGAACGCCACAATGGAATGGTGTGTCCAAGCGGAGAAACCGAACATTGTTGGACATGGTGAGGTCAATGATGAGTCAAACTGATCTTCCATTGTACTTTTGGGGGTATGAGCTAGAGATAGCTGCGTTTACACTAAACCATGTACCATCTAAATCTATGGAGAAGACACCATATGAGATATGGACCGGGAAACGTCCTAGTTTATTGTTCTTAAAGATTTGGGGATGCGATGCCTATGTTAAGAGTTTGACACCAACAAAGCTCGAGCCCAGATCTGATAAGTGTATCTTTGTGGGATATCCTAGGGAAACCAAAGGATATTGTTTCTACAACTATCAGGAGAACAAAGTGTTTGTTGCTTGGAATGCGGTCTTTCTTGAGAAAGAGTTTCTCTCAAAAGAAGTTATTGGGAGCATAGTGTGACTCGAAGAGGTTTGAGAAACACAAGAAAATGTTTCAGTTTCCACTGATGAGGAGGTGCAACAAGATGAGCCAGCGATCGTCACTGACCAACATGCTGAACCCCAACCATGAAGATCAATACAGGCACGTTGCGTGCACCTTAAAAGTACACATTACTGACTACGTGGTAGCATGACATCTTGTTGTTGGACAACAAGAGCCTAACACTTACACGGAGGCGATAATGGGACCAGAGTCTGAGAGATGGCTTGAAGCCATGAGATCCGAAATGGAGTCCATGAGAGATAATCGGGTTTGGAACCTGGATGATCCACCCGATGGCGTGAGGGCCATTGAGTGTAAATGGATTATCAAGAAAAAGACAGACATTGATGGAAATGTTCACATCTATAAAGAAAGACTTGTAGCAAAAGGTTTTTGTCAAATTCAAGGTGTTGATTATGATGAAACATTTTCGCCTGTCGCTATGCTAAAGTCTATCCAGATCCTTCTACCAATTGTCGTATATTATGACTACGAGATTCAACAAATGGAATCAAAACGGCTTTCCTTAATGGAAACCTAAGTGATGATGTGTACATGACACAGCCTGAAGGTTTTATCAACCAATAAAATACTAGAAAAGTTTGTAGACTCATGAAGTCTATATATGGGCTAAAGCAAGCATCCCAGAGCTAGAATCTTCATTTTGATGAGGAAGTTAAATCATTTGGATTCTCAAAAATGAAGAAGAACCATGTGTTTACAAGAAAGTTAGTGGCAGCGCACTCGTGTTTTTGGTCTTGTATGTGGATGACATACTACTGATCAGGAATAATATTCCACTAATGGAGGATGTTAATGCCTCATTGAGAAAGAGTTTCTCTATGAAGTACCTTGGAGACGCATCCTACATTTTGGGTATAAAGATCTATAAAGATAGGTCTAAGCGCTTAATTGGATTAAGTCAAAGGACATACATTGACAAGGTGTTGAATAGGTTCAACATGAATGAGTCCAAAAAGGGATTCATACCTATGTCACATGGTGTAACCTTGAGCAATACTCAGTGTGCCTCGACGCCTAATGAGCAAGAAAGGATGAGTACCTCACGGTAGGCAGCCGTACACGGCACAACACCCACGTCAATGCCCTGCCAGTGGCACCCCAGTGCCAGCAGAGCATCAACGGCAGCACGGCGACAGCGAGACCCCACGGCGCCCCTCTTTCTCCTCTTCTCCCTCTTCCCCCTCACTGTGAACGCATCAACGGTCGGCGCCATGGTCACCACCATGCCAAGCCGCCAGACTAGCCACCAAGGCACTCCAGCGTGCGCTTGGGCGAGTGCTAGCCATGGCAATGTAACCAAATGAAGTCAGCGGCGTGCCCGCATGCTAGATAAGGATGGCCACGAAAAATATCTCGCCACCGGGACACCGGCTAGCTGGCCTATAAATAGGTCGGGACAGCAATGCTCTCGCCTCGCCCTCTCCACCACCAGCTCCGCCGAGGGTGAGAACACCTCATCTCCTCCTCCTCTTCCCCATTCCCCTCCCCTTTCCTCTTTTCTTCCACTTTTCCCCAATTCAGGAGTCCGTTGGTGCCATCAGCGTCGCCCCCTCTCTTCTCCTTCTCCGCTGCGTCTCTGGCCGATTACAGCGACCGGTGAGTCCCCAAGCTTCTCCTTTTCCTTTTTCTATAGATAGTTGGTAGCCTAGGTATCTATAGTGCGCTACCCGCGTGAGCCCCGCTCCACC